ACAAAATATCTTCATGGAACATGATCTTTACTTAATATCCTAATGATTTTTGGCATAAAAGAGAAATGTATAATTGTGACCCATACAATGTATTGTTGGCTATTGCTACAAATATACCCCAGCGACTTAAGACTGCTTTTGTGCTCCAGGGTCACAAATGAGCCATAAAAGGATCAAATGTGATACAAAACAAAAAATCACATGCAATTTGTATTTTATTTTGTTGAAAGGTTTAATACATTTGTTCCATTTGAAGTGAAATTTATTTTTCAGACAATTTCGTTTGTCAGGCTTTACAGTGACAATTTCCCATTTGTCTCTTGTGCTTTCACCACGTTCACTACGAAAGATACAAGAGGCTGAGAACAAATGCAAGCAGCTGGAGAAGGAGTTCGAGCTGTACCGGGATCAGCAGAACGTCCGGCCCGAGGTCCGTCTGCAGTCAGAGATCAACCTGCTGACCCTGGAGAAGGTCAGAGACACTAAATCCTACACAGAGCAGAGGCGTATTATACTGAAGGAGTTAGCCAGGTTTAAACGGGTAAGACTAACTAATCACATGATTACTAGAGTGTGTTTTACTCTCGTCACAGCTGGAAATGATGAGTGAAAGCTTTCAGACAGTGTAGTTTTAACCTGAAAAATTAAATGAATTGGGTCAATCTCATAAAAACGTCTACCCAAGTCTTACACCCCAAAATATATTTTGCATAAAGAAAATTAAACCTGTTTTAAGGACGATCGGAATTTTTTTTTGCATTGAGGTGTTTTCAGTATTTAATATTGGTACTGAAATACTTGAAAATGGTAAAAAAAATATATATATATATATATATGTAACAAATCTATTACAAAAATAAAATATTTTTAAAAAGTAAAAAAAAATTTTTTTTTTATTTATATATTAATATATTGATGCATATATTTATTCCGGATTCTCATGACAGTAATACATCTGGATGTTTAATTTGTTTGTGATTCTTATTTATACTAAAATACTTTAAAATATATGTGTGTATGTATGTGTATATAAATATAAATAAATATATATAGATAGATAGATAGATAGATGATTTAATTTTGAATTTGTAATTCTCAAATAATATTACAAACATAAAAATATTAAAAAATTCTAAAATAATTTTAAATGTATATATTTAAAGGTGACATATCATGAAAATCTGTTCTTTTTAGCAGCATCATATGACCCCTTTAAGTGCTATAATCAGGTCCCCGGTGCATCTACCAACCAAGGAAACATGAAAAAGATTAACCCAGTAACTTTGTTTTGGGAAGCCTTTTTCTGCAAGCGTCTGAGAAAACCAGCGCGTCTGATTTCGCTCTCTTGGTGACGTGGCAAAGGGATCTCATTATAATATTACCGCCCCTTAATCTGTAAGTTTACACCCACGGCGCCGTTATTTTGATTTCGCAAGCGACAACAGTGTAGCAGCTCTAATGCCATGATGAAAGTTTAAGCAAAGCACGCTAACTGTTCTGTGTTTGGCTGCACAGACGAGCACAGAACACTGTTTAGAGTCCCAGCCTCAGAGGAGACAGAGGAGAGTATTTTGAGCGGAAACTTCACAGACACATTCTGGGAACACCTGAGACGATATTACATATTGTAAAAAGGGGCATAATATGTCTCCTTTAAATTGAGTATTTGGTAAACTTTATATTTAAGTGTATCTTTAAATAATAGTAACATGAATGAGAACGAGATTCTTGCGCATTACAGTCATGAGAATGTGCTTCAGTGTCATAAAAATAATGTCGCAATGTAAAAAATCTTAATGGCTCTAAAAATAGTCTGGAGTTTGTGTTCTGGATCCAATCAGGCTGCAGGCTCTCGCAGGACCAGCTCAAGACTAATGGAGCAGTTTACTGCGTTAAAGCAGACGTGGATGTGAGTTCTCACGGAAAAAGCAATGCGAGTGAATGCTGAGAAACGGAGAGCTGTCACGAGCTGCGCTGAAGCATTGGGCCGCTTCTCCAGTAAACAGAGGCGGCGCATGGAGCTTATCAGCCTGCTAATAACTGTTACAGACACAAAGCAGCTGGAGCGGCCCAGACTCGCCTCTCTCTTTACTTTCAAGTGCCAGAGATATATATATATAAAGAAAACAGCTGGTGATTTATGGAGCTCTGAGGCCTCCATAACTTAATATGATATTGAGCTATAAATCAGGCTTGTATTATGTTCAACATTAAACATCTGAATATCAAGTTGGCTTGTTGAAAGATCGATGGATGAATTTAAGTGGATCGTTTTTCACTGAAATAATCTTGTATTCTCATGTAACGTAGTAGAAACACAATATACACTGCTGTTCAAAAGTTTGGGATCAGATTTTTTTTTAATGTTTTTTTAAAGTCTCTTCTGCTCAGCAAGGCTGCTTTTATTTGATCAAAAATACAGTAAAAATTGTGAAATATTATTAGAAATTAAAACAGCTGTTTTCTATGTGAATATCTGTTAAACTGTAATGTATTTCTGTGATCAAAGCTGTATTTTCAGCATCATTACTCCAGTCTTCAGTGTCACATGATCTTCAGAAATCATTCTAATATGCTGATTTGCTGCTCAAGAAACATTTCTGATTATTATCAATGTTGAAAACAGTCGTGCATTTTGTTTTTCAGGATTCACAGAGGAACATAAAGTTCAAAAGAACAGCTTTTATTAGAAATAAAAATCTTTTCTAACAAAATAAGTCTTTACTGTCACTTTTTTATCAGTTTAGCACACCCTTGTGAATGTAAGTATTCGTTTCGTTCAAAAAAGAAAGAAAAAAATTACTGACCCAAGACTTTTGAAAGGTAGAGTGTATTGTTACAAAAGTGTATTGTTATTTTAAATAAATGCTGTTCTTTTTACCTTTTTTTTCATTAAAGTATGACAGGTTCCAAAAAATATATTAAGCAACATTATAAAAACATTATAAAGCAAAATATTAAGATATTTATCCAACATTTATTATAAATCAGAATATTAGAATGATTTCTGAAGATCATGTGACACTGAACACTGGAGTAATGATGCTGAAAATACAGCTGCGCATCACAGAAATAAATTACAGTTTAACAGATATTCACATAGAAAAGAGTTATTTGAAATTGTAATAATATTTCACGATTTTTACTGTATTTTTGATCAAATAAATGCAGCCTTGCTGAGCAAAAGAAACTTCTTTATAAACATTAAAAATCTTGCTGACCCCACTTTTGATCGTCAGGCGACAGAGATCATGTTTAGCACAGATTTTCACTAAAGATGTGCTGTGATGGATCTGTCAGCTGTGTTTGGGGTTTCTGGGTAAATTTCCTCAGTGATGCGGTCCAGGTGTCGGGCGAATCTCTCCAGAAAACTGCTCTTGAGTTGTGTCTGGCGTCCGGGTCATTCTCTGGTCACACAAGCAAACGCGTGTCTTCAGCCGTTATTAGAGCTGACGCTCACACCACACACTGCGAACAGAACTCTGGGAACCATTAGAGCTGCCGTTAACCGCAGGTAGTGAAGGAAACTCCTCAAATCCTCAGGATAATTGTGTGAGTGTGTGTGTGTGTGAGAGAGAGAGAGA